ATATTTGTTCGCAACTATTTTCAAGTCTTCTCTCCCGAGATGTCTCTCGGCCAAGGATGTGGCTTTAATTATTTTCAAGTCTTCCCTCCCGAGATGTCTCTCGGCCAAGGATGTGGCTTTAATTATTTTCAAGTCTTCCCTCCCGAGATGTCTCTCGGCCAAGGATGTGGCTTTAATTATTTTCAAGTCTTCCCTCCCGAGATGTCTCTCGGCCAAGGATGTGGCTTTAATTATTTTCAAGTCTTCCCTCCCGAGATGTCTCTCGGCCAAGGATGTGGCTTTAATTATTTTCAAGTCTTCCCTCCCGAGATGTCTCTCGGCCAAGGATGTGGCTTTAATTATTTTCAAGTCTTCCCCCCCGAGATGTCTCTCGGCCAAGGATGTGGCTTTAATTATTTTCAAGTCTTCCCTCCCGAGATGTCTCTCGGCCAAGGATGTGGCTTTAATTATTTTCAAGTCTTCCCTCCCGAGATGTCTCTCGGCCAAGGATGTGGCTTTAATTATTTTCAAGTCTTCCCTCCCGAGATGTCTCTCGGCCAAGGATGTGGCTTTAATTATTTTTTCAAGTCTTCCCTCCCGAGATGTCTCTCGGCCAAGGATGTGGCTTTAATTATTTTTTCAAGTCTTCCCTCCCAAGATGTCACTCGGCCAAGGACGTGGCTTTAATTAGTATTCCTTCCCGAGATGTCTCTCGGACAAGGAAGCGGCTTACATCACTTGCATTTTTATGAAGACCAACAGTTACATCAATATGTGACGACAAGAGTAAATTCATTAACAAAAAAGGCACTACCGGCCAAGCGTACATTCAAAAAGGGCACTATCAGCCCATTAATACATGAAAGAAAAAGAAGCTTAAGACCCTACTTCCGGTTCCCCCTGAACCGGGCCATCCTCAGGCGCAACCTCCTCGTACGCCGTTTCCTCCTCATTTGGCCCAGTTGGCCGCGCCGGGGCTTCTTCATCGGCTGGCTAGCCGGCTGGAATAGAAGCCAGGTCCACCAACTTCCCTTGGTAGAAATCCTTGGTCATGTCCAAATGGAAGTCAGGGGGAAAGTCCCCAAAGTAGCTGGCTTGCCGAGCCACCTGAGCAAAGCCCGCCTGATGCTGAGTGAGGACTTTGTTGCGTGCCTTCTCCCTGTAAGCCCCGAAAGCGACTTTCTCAGCATCCAGCTCCTTCCCTAGATCAACAACCTTCTCAGTCTCATTCTTCAGGGCAAGTTCGACACGCTGAACCTTCAAGGCAAGGTCGTCGGCGGTTCGCCCCCGGCGGTCCATTTCGGCCTGGAATTTGCTGTTGGCCGTTTGGGCGTCAGTCAGCGCCGCCAGCGTCTTTCGAAGAGACTTCTCTTGCTCAGCAAGCTGCCGACGCAGTCCATCGGCCTCGCCGTTCGGCTCCGTGACGATGCTTTGCGCCATGGCCACGACGCGTACTTGGAACTCACAGAAGAAGCTCCATTTCTGAGCCGCAGTCATACGGCTCAGCATCCCTTGACCTGCCTCGGAAGTCAAGTCTTGACTCAGAAAATCCTGAGCATTAACATTGCCGGCTAAGAAACTTGGCGCAGCCAAGCCTTCTGGCATAGGAGGACCGGCCACTCGGCACTGCTTAGTCCGACAGCTCTCTTCCTCGGCTCTTGAGTCGGGCCTTCTTTTTTCAGGCTGAGGCCGAGTGGGCTTCTTCGGCCTGACAGTTGGTCCTGCCCCGCCACCTTGGACAGTTGGCTGATTCCCGCGCACGCCGGCCGGGGCCTTGTTCCCAGTGGTCGCAGCCACTTGGTTCCGGATCAGCGTATGGATGTCCAGATCGTCATCTCCATGATCCGTCATTATACCTGCACATCATTAGTCAAAATCAATGATAACGCAAGAATTTAAACAAGTAAGAAAGGTACTATACCAATCAGTTCTTCAACTACGTCGGCCGATTCAAACAATCGGACCAGAGGACGGCATGGTAAAGGCCGAGGCAACTTCTCCAAAAAATTCAAGCTAGATCTCTCCTCCGGGGACATGCGAGACTTCGACACCGTGTCATACTTCCTTGGCTTCCGAGTCCAGTACAACGGAAAAAGAGAGTTTCCTTCGGTATCAAAGAAATATTTATTTCCCGTCTCTGGCCGAATCATCACCTTCATGGACCCCTCTTTGAATTTCTTATAAGAAGTGGTAAAGGGTTCTAGCAAGCAATCACTGTGCCGATTCAATGACAACCATTTAGCCTTCTTAGTAGGCCGAGACGAGTAAAAATATAAGAATAGGTATGGGGTAGGCTGGAGGCCGAGAGCCAGGCACAACTGTCTAAACCCTTGCATGGCGGCCCAGGTGTTGGGATGAAGTTGACTCGGTGCCACGTTAAGAAGCCGAAGTATACCCATGAAATAATCATCAAAAGGAAAGGATATCTTCAAGTCCCAAAACATATAATCGTATACGTAAAAGAAATCGTATTTGGACGACCCTCGGCTCAAGTACACGAAGTCTGGGTTTGGCCCCCCATCACCTCGGCACGGCTGGAAGAAAATGGCAGAGGGTTCCTCATCCTCGGGAAAATTTAAGAATTTCACAGCCGAAACAAAAATCACAAGAGACTTTTTGTCAGTATATCGAGAGTACACGTTACCAACCTCACCGTGCACCCACGAATACCCAGGGGTCGATATAGGAGCAAAAGTCCTTGACGATCCACCTCCCCGGCTTGGATGATCATCGGACGCTATAGCCGAAGAAGAAGCACTCCCACTCTGCGACCGGGAGGACCCTGAAGCGGACTCGGCATGATCTTCCCCATTCGAAGCCGATGCCGACGCGACGTCTCGGTCCGGTGTCGCTCTCAGCCTAGATTCCCCTTCATCCCCGGAGGAGTTAATATGAACAACATTTAAATTTGCCATCACGTACCTGATTGTTGAACTTGACCTATCGCTGTTGAAAAATATTTGCGCACCAACTCAGATGACTTCGGCTCGGAGCAAGCAACAAATGCGTATCTTTGGGAACCCTCTCCACGTACCTATTTATAGACGTCCAAGGCCAGTACTTCAAGAGTCACACCTCATCGCATACCGTTGGATCATTTAGATCCAACGGTTCATGATGCGCAACTTTTCACATGCCCCATTAATACCTAACGGTTATAACCTTTGAGATTCCGACAACGTTTACAACTTTTCATCTTATGTTACATAACTCCTCGCACACGTCATTAATGCCTAGCAGTTACAACTCTTCACGTTCCCACGATTAATGTCCAACGGTTACAACCCCTCACATTCCACACCCAAACTTAACTGCCACAACTGCAAAGTCACTTTTACCCTTTACGTCGTCATACGCCTCAAGGCTGGGGGGCTTGTGTACCGGGAGGACCCTATCGGTCAAGTGGACCAACACGTGCCGTTTCGTCAGATACCCATGCAAACTAGACTACCCAGTCTTGACGTTACCATCGGCACGGTCTGTAACCGAAGGCCGAGGGCACTGTTATACTAGTGTCGGCTCGGCGCAAGGCCGACACGAGTGGAATCATAATACGTATCTATATTGTATATCGGTTCAGCCAAATGTCAGCCGAATGGAACAACATCAAATATGTCTCGGCCCGGCCAACGGCCGAGACGATCAACACAGCCTTACCCTGTCGGTTCGGCGATATGCCGAAGAACAAAGCAAGGATTATAATACTGATCATGGTTAATAGCGGTAAGCACATGATTAAGACACAATTGGCTGATTAGGGCTGTATTACCTAATTTGGTAAGATTAGGAGAGGCCCACTACTGACAAGGCCCACCTGTAATAGTATAAATAGGTCACTTATATCGAGGTACGTCACTGTTCATTAATTATTGTGAGAAATCCTGCTTATACTGACTTGAGCGTCGGAGTGCCTTTTGCAGGTATCTCCCCCTTCTCCGAAGTATATATCTGAAACTCTCGACCGGCCCTTCCCCACAGAAGACTACGAGTGTACCCTCAGACAGGTACATAAGAGATGAAGATACAACAAATATATATAATTAATATGATAAAAATTTAAAATAAAATTTAAGTTTTATATATTATTTATTTTTAAAGTTGTTAAACTTTACAATTTTTATATAATAATAATTCTTAAAAGATAAATCACATTTCTTAAGTTCAAATAATTAATAATTTATATAAAATTAAGTCTCATAAAAAATGTTATGAGTCTAATAATATTTATAAATAAGTTAATTTTTTTTAGTTTTTTATAATAGAATGTTAGATAAGTCTTTAGATAAGAATAAATGTCGTTGATTCTCTTAGCTCATGTTTAACTTATTTCAAAAATGTGTTTAAATTATGTCAAAAGAAGTGCCAAGAAAAAAATCAATTGAATTGTAATATATTAAATGCATCTTTGACAAGAATTATGTTAAAAACGTGCATGTTTTATACCTGTGTTTCCGTGCTTATTCATAACAAAGTCCTGTAGGAGTGATCTTCAATTAATGTCATTCACTACTTCAGAACAGTAGGTAAAACGCTGGTTTTATTTATTTGTAATGTGTACATCTAAAAATTGTTGCAGCTGAAATTCCTATATTGCTGCTGCTTTTTATCAACGAAAAATCGAATATTAATAGAATATAAGAAATATTCTATTATATTCTTATATATTTTGCTGTTACGGACATTTCTTTAACATTGATGGAGGTCGAATAGTAAAACCACCTTAATTTTGATTAATTAATTAGGGCATTTATATTTAGTGTTCAACGTAGGATATATTTATACATGTAGAAGCAAAATTAAAAAAAAAATGTATATTTCTTGAATATAGAGACAGTCAAAGACAACATATGTATAGCCCGAAACTTTTTTGTATAGCCTGATACTAGTCCGACAAAATGGTACCCCACCACATCTCATAACACATAACCTTTGTCAGTAGCATCTAATGATAACTTGCTTTTCTAAAAGCCACTAGAAACTCCATATGTAACTTGTAACACTTATCTGAGAAGTGTTTTTTTTTTATATATATTTATGAAATGTTGAGTATTTTTAGCTCTAAACCAGGTTGAACTATTGCATCCTTTAGGGATATCAATGGAGAACAACCCTAGTTCATCAAAAAGTGATAGAAAAATGATTGAGAGGAACAGAAGAAATCAAATGAAGGCTCTTTTCTCCAAGCTCAACTCAGTTGTGCCTCATCAAAGCTCAAGGGTATTACTCTACTGTCTACTCTTAAATATACAACCAAATGCTCTTATATGCACACAAACGTTTCACTTCTATTAGAATCTTTTGCAGGAGGCAATTTCACGACCGGATCTGATAGATGAAGGCACAAACTACATCAAGAGCTTACAGATTAAGTTGGAGAAAATGAAGGAGAAAAGGAGCAACCTATTGGAAAGTAAGATGTCAGAAAATGCTAGCATGAGTATGGGGTTGAAGTCTCCACAATTTAAGATCCAACAAATGGGTTCAGTCTTAGAGGTTGTTCTAGTAACTGGGTTGGATTTTCAATTCATGTTCAATGAGACCATTCGTGTTCTTCAAGAAGAAGGATCAGATGTTGTTAATGCCAGTTATACGGTTATTGAAAATGAAGTTTTTCATACAATACACTGTCAGGTGAGCTATAAATTAATTCCCCATATGCCCTCTGCCCTATGAATTATACGTAACTCGTTTGCATTGCATTTTATAGGTTGGGGAATCTGCAAATGCAACTTTGAGGATATCTGAGAAACTAAAGAAGTTTCTGTATCATTAATTCCAGTTCCTTTTATGGTGAATTATGTCAACGTTGGGGGAAAATTTAACCCGATCATATAACTCCAAGAGAGTGGCACTGTTTTATCTAGTAAGCAAATTCATATTCACTGTCTTGTTGGCTTTGCAGATTGTGCACATGCGTGGAAGTTGCAAAATCTGATGAAATGGTTGTTTAGTTTGTTATATGATTAGGATTAAACATGTTTCCGATTCCTTGAGGTCTATTTGAATATTTTTTTCATAATTAAAAAAATAAATAAATAAATAAACTTTTGTGTTTACTATTAATAACAGGAATTATCTTATTTAATATTCATTTTTTTTTACAATTTTATCCTTATAATCTTTTTTTACAAAGCAAATATTCTTTTTATAAATTTTTTATAATCACATGTATTTTTAATAACTATTCGTTATTATATAATTTTTATTATTTATTAGTGGTAGGACTAATATAAGATAAAATTAGTTTATATATTAGAAAAATATATTTAATATGAGAGAGTTTCTACATATTAGTTTATGCATAAATTAAATTTAATATATGAAAAAATTTATTTCATTTTTCATTATTATTTTTTTTAAGTACTCATAGAAAAATTAATTCAACTAAATCTTAAATCTCTTTGGAAAAGAGAAAACTAACATAATAACGAAGGAATATTGTTGGCAATAATGAATCTTGAGAAAATGCATACATATTCATGAATTTTTGTCCCAAAGCCCTTTATGTTTCCTAAACAAATTAGATGACATATGAAAATCACGTATTTATGAATATTTTATTCTTCCGAACATTCTCGATGTATAAAATCAAAAACTACTTCTAACCATAAATATTTGGTGTAAGTAAAACTCAAACCTAAAAAGTTGTTACATATAACTCACATAATGGACAAATAAATCATATATAGATCAATATAAAATAAACATTTATTGATATTTTTTCAACTTTTAATGACAATTTTTATCTATTATTACAAATCAATTTTCTTAGAAGTCAATGTGTGGAAAATTTGCATTTTGCAAGATGCAAGATCTATTAATAAGAATTTGTGTGAGTATTACTATTTTCTTATCCATTCAAGTAGATATATAAAAATGAACATAAATTTATATATATATAATTGTCTCCATTATTAAGATGCATGTTGAAAATGTCCAAAAGCAACTCATGAGGACTTAGACTCAAAGTAGACAATATCAATATTACTAATGTGGAGACATATGTGTATTGGAACCCCAATGCATAATAAGTGGTATCAAAGTCAATGATTGACTAGGTAATGGGCCCAACAAGTATGATGGTTGACAAGTAGATTAGGGTAAAAGATATCCTTGTATCAAAAGTTTTCCTAATGATATGTCCATGTATGAAAGATAGTCTTTTTAGTAACATGGAGGATTATGAGATGTATCCCGCTATCGTGAGTTAATAATGGAGTAGTGATGTAAGTACTTAAAGTGTGAATGGGCTCTATGGGTCACCATTGAATATACCCGCTGACTAGTTTTTGTTATAGAGAGATAAATTATGGTCCCTTATTTAAAGGGAAGGTTGTTAGGATTCAATAAAAGTATCACATCGTTATTACATTAATGATCATGTATATTAATTGATTTAACCGTTATACTTGATGATATTACATTAATGATCATGTATATTAAATTTAAAATGATTTGAATTTTTTTGGATATGTTATCTAATAATAAATATTTACATACATTTTGAATATCATTTTATATATTAAAATAAATTGATATGATGAACTACAAAATAAATTTAGAATTGTATGTAATGTTGTATACTTAATCTAATTAGTAATATTATCAAGTACAATGGTCGGATAGATTGAAATTGCATTCTATAAAAGTTATTGAATGTATCATTTCACTAATTCAACGATTAGATCGAAAACACTCACTTTTAATATAAAATTATTGACTGGTGTAATAGGAGGGAACCACTTACTCTAATAATAAGTCTATTTAGACTTACTTTATTCAATAAATCATGTTTTACATCAAATTTTTCAAACGTTGAATTAAAAATTACTAATGTGTAGGTTAAGTTTGCAACATTTTAAAAATTTTGAAAATCATTTGATAATCCGTTTCATTAATTTAAATTAACAAATAATCATAAAAAAATTATACATTGATTTTAATTCAATGATTAAATCATCGAAATTTGTTGTAAAGTTAGAGTTATTGAGTGGAGTAAGTATAGGTAAACTACTTATTGTTAGAATAAGTAGATTCATCCTTTTATATATACCTACCTATCTATCTATATATATAGACTGGGGGGCATAACACGCCCAAATTGACGATTCAAACACTGAGAGTTTCCCATGCGGAAATGACAACTGTTAGGATAGGAGGAATGATCAAGAATGAATGAATCATTGCTTTTAGGGAATTACAACAAAACCCAATTGAAGAATAAAGGCATTGCATGACAAAAACCCGCTTGGACGAAAACCCGTAAAGGGCGTCCTAGGTAAAAATTAGGGTAAAAGAATCAAAATCCCGATAGGATACGTCCTATGCAAAAGTTAGGGATACATAAAAATAAAAAAAAAGCAATGTCTGCTCGAGTTGAAAATCGAAAGGCGGCTTGAGTATTCCCTTTAGAAAGCAAAAATTCATAAAGGTTTCACTCCGAAGTCGAAACACCCACATTCAAGCAAGTGGAAATGTGTTCCTAACGTAGTTCAATCAATCGTCAACCATGCCTCTCTAGGGGCAACCTCGGTTAATCTCTCCGTGTACGAATCACGAACTCGGGGCATGCCCGGGCCTCCGAGCTTTGCTTAAAGGGCACGTGTAATTGGAAGTACTGTTTTAAATGCCATAACATTCTTTCATTTCTCTTCTCCCTTTAAAATATTCACTCTAGGCCTCATCCATTAACCCTTAATAAACAAGATGTATTTACGACAAAGATGTTACTCAATAATAACATGGAAAGGATAACAAAGGAACAATCAGGAATCCAAACATGAATGGGTTTAATAAAATAGGGTGTCCCATAGAAACGTTGCAAAAATGAAAGCCTGGTAGAAGCCCACAAAGGGGGGCTACGCAAAATTAGGGCAAGATCCGCTAGGGGCTCACAATCGAAAAGGGCAACCTAGGCAAAATTAAGGATCAAAAGAAAAATGTCTGCTAGGAAACACATCCAAAGTGATAGAAAAGAATGGCACAATCCAAGAGGGGGGATGAATTGGATTCAATGACCCTTTAAAAAATTTATCAGAGTATTTTGGATCTTAATTTCAATCAAAACTTTTCTATGACAGAATTTCGAAATGAAGCTCTTCTAAAGACTTGTTACAAAAATATGAATGCAATATGCTCACTTGATTACAACATAATGAGGTTCAACAATAATGTTCAATTACAGATTTAAACCATCAAGATTCACATACACTTGTTAATCAAGTTTTATCTTCTTTAATATTCAATTAAGCAATTACTCAAAGTAAGAGATAAGGTAGAAGAAGATTGCACAAGTCTTTTATACTGGTTCAGCCACTCCACATGTGACCTACATCCAGTCCTTAATCAACACCTGATTAAGATTTGTTCCACTATCTTTAATCAAGAAGGTTTACAAGCAAACACACATGCATATACTTCTATACTAAAGATAACCACTTTCTTGACCCCAAGAAAGCACCCCTTGTAGAACCCACTACAAGAAACCTTATTACTTGAGAAACCCTTCTCAAGATTTTTCACAAAGATTCACAAAGAATAAAAGGAACGAATTCACCTGGAATTCTTGAACAAATCTTTATCTTCCCCTTTCAAGAATATGATGATGATGATTGGGTCCCTATTATGGGCTCGTCATTTTGCCGATGTGCCTCGGGTCGGCCAATGGGAGACCACCACGGTACATAGCCCTCCATGCTCGAGCACTAAGGTGCGAAGAGCATATTAGATCAATATTTTGCCGACCTACTTCGGGTCGGCTCATGGGAGACCACCACGGTACATAGCCCTCCATGCTCGAGCACTAAGGTGCAAAGAGCATGTTGGATCAACATTTTGCCGACTTACTTTGGTCGATCTGTGGGAGACCATCATGGTACATAGCTCTCCATGCTCGAGCACTAAGGTGCGAAGAGCATGTCAGATCAATATTTTGCCGACCTACTTCGGGTCGGCTCATTGGAGACCACCACGGTACATAACCCTCCATGCTCGAGCACTAAGGTGCAAAGAGCATGTTGGATCAACATTTTGCCGACTTACTTTGGTCGATATGTGGGAGACCATCGTGGTACATAGCTCTCCATGCTCGAGCACTAGGGGGCGAAGAGCATGTGAGATAGGCATTTTGTTGACCTACTTTGGGTCGCAACTTGGGGCGCATCGTTTGACTTCATTTATGTTGATCGTCTAAATTCCGACCTTAAAGTGCTCTTCACACTAAGGTTTGGGTCTTCTAAATTCTAACCTTAAGGTGCTCTTCACACCAAGGTCTTGATCGTCTAAATTCCAACCTTAAAGTGCTCTTCGCACCGAGGTTTGAATCGTCAAAATGTTACTTGCTCTAAGAAAATATTTGATATGCGAAATATTTTTACTTTCTTGAGAATCTTAAATTGAAAATCTTGACTTCCTATAATTAGTTGTTATTTAAAAAAAAAGATTTTGTTTCTCGAAAACCATTTTTATCCCACTTTCTCACAAAAATATTTTTATAAGAGAGGTGAGAATCCAACTTTCCCAAGTTGGGAAGAAAATGTTATGTGTATAAAAAGATCATAGTATTTGTTTTTAAAACAAAAATATTTTTTTTTCTCTCTCTTCTTCTATTTTTTTTTCTCCATCTCTATCTGGCTCTTTCTCACTCTCACTCTCCTTCTCTCCCTGTCCCCCTCTCTTTGTCTCTCTCTTCCTCTCCCTCTCTTCTCTTATTTCTCTTTCTCACTCTTACTCTCACTCTCACTCTCACCCCCTCTCTCTTCCTCTCCCTTTCCCTCTCTCTCCCCCTTTGGCTCTCCCCCTCCCTCTCACCCTCTCATATCTCTATTTTTTTCTCTCTCTCTCTCTCTCTTTCTTATATTTCATTATTTATTGACTTTGTCAATTTTAATAATATTATTAAAGTTTATTTTATTTCAATTTAATTAATAGTATTTGTTAATATTCTTATTCTTTTTTATTTTTTAAATACAAAATTTTAAAAAATAAAAATATGTTTATTTTCATCAAGGATATTTTTATAAAAAAAATATTTATATACCAAAAAATATACTATTATAACTAAATATAAAATTTTTAATTCTCGAAAATCTTGTACAAATATTTCCATGAGCTTTTATGAGTAACCAAACATGTTTTAGTTATTCCTAGGAATCATAATTTATCAAGAATCATGATTCTTAGGTATGAAAAAACTTATCCCCTACAAAATGTCCTCTAAGAGTAAATATACTTAGACTTACTCCACTCAATAATTCATATTTTACATCAAATTTCAATGATCAACTGTTGGATTAAAAGTTTTTAATGAATAGATTAAGCCAGCAAATTTTTTAAAAATTTGAAAGTTATTTGATATTTTATTTCATTAATTTAAATTGACGAATAATCATAAAAATATTTTATACATTTATTTAAAAACTTATATAAAAAGTATTAAATAATTTTCAAATTATTTAATTTGTAAAATTGATTTATACATTAAGAATTTTTAATTTAATGGTTGAATCATTCTAAATAGACATACTCTTGAAATAAATAGATCCCTGCTCATATATATACATACACATACATATATAAATATATAT